TATATTCCACTAGTTTCATCAGGGTAGACTTAACATAAATAAAAACCCATCATAGATAAACATTATTGTTTTAGTCTCGACATAGAACCCTAATCGAAAAATCTAGTCTTCAGTCAATCCATCTAAACCATGTAATATGCCTAATGTTAATTCAAGATTGAGTTTCAATCCCTAACAATGAATAAGACTCAGACCCAAAATGTTAAACTATCTAAGGCCAGTAGGTTAGCCAACACGGACAAAACACTAGTATCATGTTGGACCACCTTAAAGAAGCATAAAAGTACCTTGCAGTTATCACCTAGTCGTTAGTACCTATTGGACTTCTCTTAGATGTTTATAGAACACATGACTATAATGGTGCCCTTTAGCATTGATAATGGTATAAGATGTATCTAAAAAAGGTACAACCTATATATTAAGGTCTTTCATTAAATGAAAATTAACATCTAATCGGAAAAAAAAACATAAAATCTTATTTAAGTGATATGAGGATTATTTAAATATAACCTATTTTAGTACCATATTAAGTACCATTTTCCCTTCAAACTCCCAACCCCTCTCCCCCAACCCACTATACCTGTGCCACCAATTTTTTTTCTTTCTCATGATTCCCATCTTCGTCAAGAAATCAGTCACCATGTTTATTTTCTTATATGTTTAGTGAAATTTAAACGAGTGTATTATATTTTTAACTTTATTAACAGTACATTTATCTCCATAGTATGGAATCACCATTCCCCCCAAGATGTGGCTACTGTAGAATTGTTGTTAATAATAATATTCTTTTCTTTAATTTCACCCTTTGAAACTAAGATTACAATGCTTCATTGGTAATTAGTAACTCATCTTTTTATTAGGTTTAAGAACCTTCATTCTTGGAAAAGATATATTTGAACTAACACTCTTAATCTCTAAGAATCTCGCCTGCACCTGTAAGGTCAACCTTACCCATACAAATATGTCAACATTGAACTTCTATTTCCCATCAAGAGTAGGAATCCAAGTAATAAATCTCTATACCCCCTTGTGTTGCCTCTTCTCTCTTACCTTTAATAAGGAAACTAACATTTGATTTATCGATACTAATTAAAGGCTATTATGAAGTATTTT